ATACCTAAGAGAAAAGTTAAATAAACGATTATTTATCAACTATATAGAAGTTCTTATTCAAAGTATATTGGCTTTAAATTAATTAAAATAATTATCATTTATATATTATCAGTATTAACTATAATTTTAAACAAAAAGACAAGATTCAAGATTCGACATTATCCCGCGTGGCAACAGATAATTCCGAACGATACAAGAATTTTGTTTTTTGTTTAAAATTATATTAATATGACTATATGAATATTAATTATTGTTTAAGTCAAATAAGTGAAGTATCCTTGTTTAAAGACTGTTATGATTGATAAATAATCATCAGCTTTATTTAACTTTTTCGTTAAGTATTTGTAGTTTCTAGGTTCTTCTCTATATACTTACATATATTACATAATATATGTGGCTAAATTAACATCTCGAATCGAGACCACACTTACGATGCACGGACAATACGTAATTGACCGCGTACTCTTCGTCGTCCTTCTCTATCGAGCACTTGTACCAATTGCTATCTTTTACTAGTAGGTTCCTAATCGTGAAACCAATTCTGGGATCAAATGATGCATTCTTTAATTCTTCTTCCTGCATTAAAGAAAGATTTTAGAAACATTTTGCAATGAATAACAAGTTAATAAAATTAGCTGTTTTGATGATATTTTATTATGATATCAATTTATAACGTATATTAGAAAAAAATACTTTAAGAGAGCAATAACATACGAATTTTTTAATTTATAAAACTTTACAATAATTCTTTAAATTTATTTTTTTAATATGATATTATAAAAAATTAAAACTCTTCTAAAAAAATAACAAAATCTATGAATAAGGATATATACATGTTAATTCTATATTTTTTTTCTTTTCTTCTCAGCGAATTTTCATTGTGACGTAACTGCATGTTTTATAAGGGTCGTATCATGACACACACGGAAAAATTTAAGCAGAAAAATCTAAGCAATGAAGAAATGAAATGTTAGATTGCTATTGGCTACATTATGATCTTACGGTTTTTACTGTGAATAGCTAATTTGCTTACCGCTTTATTACGTTTTATTGCTTAAACTTTTTTGTATTTATATCCTGGCTCTAAACGTGAAGATAATATATTGATATATGTATATTTCAACATATTTAAAATTTTTTAATTTTTGAATCTATGTGTTAATCGTTTAGAGCCGAATATAATCATTTTTATTATAATTTTATTTTTAAATTATTGCAAATTATCTTCTGCTAATTTATCTGTGATATACTCACGTTATTATCAGATAAAATTGGTATTAGATCTGGCGATGTAGGTCTGCATGGTATTACGATGCTACCGCCAGCAACAGCACTCAGATGGGCATAAGTATCCGCTTCAACAAATAAATTTGTATTCGCTGCAACAATGTGAAGAATGTTGAATGCAATATGAAGACGCAAGAAAGATGCAAGTATAAATGTTTCTTCATTGATCCCCATATTAATAAGATGCACGCGATTTGATCTTACATTTTACATAAACATACAACCAGTTCACCTCGGGATCCTCTTTCTCGTAGGAATTTGTGATAATTTCAACATTGTGATCGGCGCAACCATACCAGCCTGTATCACCGAAAACAGTGTTTGGCCTTTGAAAGACATATTTGTAAATGTCATTAATTTTATCGTTTTCTTTGATCTTTTTAGGAGTTGAAGTATTAACCTGTCAGAATAATAAAAGGTTTGATATACCTACATGTTAAAAATTAAAATTTGCAAAATTTGGAAATAAAAATTTAAGATAGGAATATTGTAACTTCTAATGCAACTTTTATTTTTATATTGTACTCTCTTATAAAAATAAAAGTTGCATTAGAAGTTACAATATTCCTATCATTCATCTCATCGGTATTCCTATCACTCATCTCATTTATAGAAAATATATCTCAAAATTTGTTTACCTGTAAAAGAAAAAATATCAATTTCTCTTACTAAACTATTGGGTTGTCCGGAAAGTTCGTGTCGCAAAAGATTTAAATTTAATTAAATGAAATTAAAAATTTAAATCTTCTGCGTTTCAATTTCCCTTCAAAATCGGCACGAACTTTCCGGACAACCCAATATTTAGATAATAATTATATTTAGATAA